AACAGCTGTGAGTGCCTCAGGCTCCCCCCTCCATGTTTAGTTTGCCTCTTGAATGGCCGCCACATTCCATCGCTGGAATGTCGTGCCGAGACCGGTGAGCACCGACATTCTCACAATGGACCCCACAGCATACAGCTTCACAGGCAGAATACAGACCGTGTGCGAACTCAACTCTGGAATTCCTGCCTCGTTTAGAAAATTTGGACAAAACCTGATTAATTAAGTGATTCAAATGTTTTCTGAGTGGGTTAATTGTAGGGTAGGCGAGATAGTTCTTCAGAAAACAAGAATCAATAGTAATATTTTAAAATTCAATATTGATAAAACTCCTGGGGATGGTGGTGTATTTCAATTGCTGTGTCTAAGAACTTTGTTGTATCCTGTAAAATTTGACGGATATTTCAGTTCTTCAGTAAAGGCCACGAAGTAACAATGTTAAATTCCAAGATACCATTACGTACTTGAGAAAACGGCATAATGTAAAACAAAGTACCATATTTTACATCACGTAATTAGATCGGGCAAAAACTACAGTATTTAAATTTACTTCAGAAAGCTGAATACGTAAAGCGTCAATAGAAAATCATCATAAAAAAAAAATAAATAAAAAAGCGTCATTTGAAAATTGGAAAATCCCATTAGTTCAGGATCAAAAGTTGATATGGAAAAATCTGACATGTTAAACAATTATAATACAGTATATCGAGTTCGTAATGTTTCGTGGAACGAAATGTATTTATACGTAGGAAGGAATGTTGTAATCTCTATTTTAAGATGGGACACAACGCCCCCACCTCCTTCACTGTCAGCTACTGGACAGATAATTACCGAATGAACAGTCGGGTCGCCCCCAGATGTGACGTCATAGGTCAAAGGTCGTCGGTTATCAGGATCATCCCAACGTTTCCGCTCTATCCACCAAATCAACATCTCGATCCCCCAGCATTTCCTTTTAATTCTCTAGTAGTTAGCGCGTTTATCAATTAGGTTTTTGGCACAAGGCTTGCATTCCGATATTCTCTTATTTGTTTCACTGTTGTAATTAATCTAATGATATGGCAAGCATCGAAGCACTTCAAGTTTGGACTGAGGATTGAAATCGCTCGGAATTATTTGCTCGTTATCGTCTAATAACATTATTATCACTAGTAGTTGTTCTGTCCGTGCTTCGTAAGAATACGTGAGTGAATAATGTGGATCTCTAAAAAAATAGTTACACACACTTACCATGCAAATTAAACAGTGAAATCTCAATCGCACGTATTGATTATTTAATGCAAATCTCTTGTGTATTTGCTCAGGGGAAAAGTAAACAAACTATAAAGAAAAACAAATCTAACAAATGATGCATCTTCAAGATTTTAGATGTGATTAAATACAGCCCTTTGTATTGAGGTTTGTGCCCTTATGGTTGATCGAAAACCCGATATAATTGGGGAAGTTGCACATCAAGACCTTTAAAGCCATTGACAGGTGTGCTGCTTACGGTTTTCTCAAGTTCGTGATCCTTATTAGCTTTATATATAGATATCTAATAATAATAATTAATAGTGTGATAAAATACTATACTGCAGGTACATCACAACCCATAATGTACCATATTCAAGCATTTCCAAACCGACTCTTTCCTACTGAAACTCACGACCAAAACGCCCGTAGAACATACAACATAAACGCCGCAATTGCCAGTCATAGTCATTATATCACTGCGAGGGCAATACATTACGTAAATGTACCTCAAGGGGGGAGGGGGGTGGCTAGACAGGAAGGCGGGTATTTATAGCATAGCAAATTACGGGGAACATTACCAGAGCAACATGCGAGCCGGGCTGACAATAGCCGCTGACCTAGGCCAACGTGACTACGATACTGGGGTAATTGGCGCGTGAATCACTACCACCACAGACACAGACTGTCTTGTCAATTGTCAATGTGGCATCTTCGATGGTCGTGCATTAATTGCGCCAATCCCTCTAAGGGTCCCAAAAAATGTTTCACTTGAGGGGTGGGTTGCCGGCAGAAGGAATAACCTTGTTTACGTGTCCTCCTTTCCTATTCTAACCTAACCTAACCTAACCAAATATACAGCCAAAGAGGGCCGCCACTTGCCACCCCGCTCCTTGGAGTAGTTGGCGCAATTCAGGCTACAGGTCAGTTGGCGCAATTCCTCTTCGACATCCCTCAGGATCCTCTATGGGAAGGCTGTTTTATTCCAAAAATGCCTCGCTTTCAGAAAAATTTAGGTATGTCGTGGATAATACCAAATTTAAGGGAGTAATCCCAACCGTTTCCCCATTTAAGCATACCTTCCGAATTGATCAGACGACTAAAAACGTAATTTCGAATTATGTAACCTTGTTAAAAAAACTATATACGTAACAACAGTCTATTAAATCTGAAACATATCCCTAATTTACATAAACCTACAAATAGTTTCATAATAAACTATAGACTAATATTTTTAGTAAATCAGCTGATCGCCCAACGCAAATCTAATGGAAATTACATTCATTATTATGAAACAGGCCCTAGTCTTGTCCTACAAAATAAAATGGAGCAAGAATTGTCTCTAGTGACGTCATCATAGCTGACAACTAATTACCAAAGAAAATATTTATAAACTTGACAGACATCGTTATACGAACAAATTAACCCAGTAACCGCATTTGTTCAGTTCAGTCTAAAACAACATTGATTACCCATCAAAACCTTACGTTCATTGTTAGGTTGTTTTGTATGGATAATTTAGAGGTTTCATTTCGGTGTTACAGGATAGCTCTGTCAGCTGTGGTGACGTAGACATGTCCATTAGCTATGACGTCACATTACGCAACGTGTTAATCAGCCCAGAGGTGATGTGCAAGTCAAAACACCTTTACAGCTGGTACTTCTTGTCATTAGTCTCTTTCGTCACTCGCTGGGAATGTTTCTCTCTCCTCCGTTATGCTTTGTAATTTCGGGTGTAATCAGAGAACGCGGTACAGGAGTTTGCTTCTCAAAAAAACCATTTGAATCGTTCTATTAGGTTTGGACTTAAAAGCATGTAATGACTTAATCTCATGACGTTAGCCCGGAACTGTTTTACACATTACCTTCAGGTTAGTCCTAGAAGGTCTGGGCATTATCATATGGATAACATATGAAAATCTATTGGTGAGTTTCGGAATTTGAACCCGGGACCTCCACTTCGAGCTCTACCACTAGACCAGCGCTCGCTCCCGTTGCCAGTAGTAGGATGCCATTGCACTTTTTCCATTGTTGGGTCCTATTTGTATCTTCTCTTATAAATGTTGTAATGGACTATTCCACAAGTGATCATCAACAATCGAGGAAATAAACAACAACAAGGAATTTACCAACCCCTATTCCACGAATAATTGACCAACTATTATCAAATCAGATAATGAAAAGGGGAATTGTATATTAATTTACGAAATTACTAAGTTTATTCGACTTTTACTTTAAAAATCGTTATCAAAGGTTACCCATTACTTAAAACAAATAGGTTGGAGAGTTTTGTAATAATCAAACCCAAATTAGGACCTATTGTATATTTTTAAATATCTTGAATAAAACATCTGTTTATTTAACGTAACACGATATATCTTCTCGGCTCGGACAACAACAACAACTACAACAACTACCGTAGTAGAAACTAAGTTTTCACCTCATACACAAGCTCACTTTGGTTATTCATGAGACTTTTCCCAGAAGACACTTAACGTATTGGTAATTCCCGTGACAAGTTATTTAAAGCATATGCAGAACTGTGACTCACTCCCAGCTGGTAGGTGACGGTGACTCTAGGTAGTGACTCGCTGGCGCCTACAATCAGTTTCTTGACCCGAACTTTCTACAACCAGCTGACCGCTAACAGCTGTTCTGCCATTGTGCAACGCACGGATCGGATTCCGCCGGTTATTCCTAGAAATGTTGTTGTTATTCAAGTTTAGTGGCTTTTGTTTTTCTCGGCAGGAATTTTAATGGATAGCAAATAGCGGGCAATTTGTGATGTTTTAGTTTTACTCGTTCCTCGTTGTCTATTGCGATTTGGTGAGGAATGTGTGGGGATTTGCTTGAGATTACCATACTGCAATTATTGGTTGGAAACCTACAAAAAAGTATACAAGCTTGTCAACAATATTTGCAAAACAAGGAGCCCTCCCCCCCCCTGAAAATAAATTCTATGAATCCCTTAACCTTCTTCATATTTTATCATTTTACCTTTTCTTTAGGAATCCACCATGTGTAAAGTCGAAAATAAAATTATGGGGGACAAGTCTACGAACAGGTTCTAGGAGCCCCTCTCCCATTAGCCCCCCAACATTCCATACCACCTGATTTGGAATCACGACCAGTCTATATATAGACACATCGTGTCGGCCGGTGCCTGAGGCTGTGATTGGCTACTTTCCTTTTGGTTTGTAGCAACTTTAATTGGCTCGAAAATCATCTTGTTTCTCATTTCCTATTTCGTATTCCTGTTTTGTGCTGGATTTGAAAATTTTTACAGTTTTGTATGTCAAGACATACTTTTAGCTAAATTTTATTTTCTGTTTCAGGTATGTATTTTCAACATCATGGGCGAGTTTTGGTAACGTATCTTACGATAAGTTTAAATGCATGGCTGATGATTGGAATGTTTATTCACTGCAGTAGATGTTAGGACAACTATAGAGGTGGCAATGACTTGAATATGAGTTCCCGCCGGATTCGCGAGCCTGCGCGGTCAATGCTCCCACATGTCAACACAGAGTAATTGGCAATATTCATAACTCAGCCACAGAGCAAGTGAGCATAGACAATGCCTGATAATTACTTAGCCTGTGCATATGGCAACCTGAATGTTAATGGGTGAATGGAAAACATGACAACTTTAAAGGAACTTAATTTATTCATACTAGTAAAACAAACATACATAATCAACAAAATTATATTAAAAATTTAAAATATCAGTTAAAACTTAAACCTTGTACTTAAGGTAAATACAGAATGCATGTTTCAAGTACACTGAACAAATTAATACTGTAATACAACAACTCAACTGAATCAGAAAATACTCATGTTTGTACAATACCAATGTCACCGGCATTACTGAATAAATAAATAAAAATAAAATAAAATAAATTGAATAAATGGTTTCAAATTGTTAAAAGTAAAACAGATTTGTAAACATTGCAAAATATCAGTTGAAATTGTAACTATGTAATTCATTAGTAAAATTCACTGGGATGTATCGAGAAATGCGAAACAAAATGCACAATAACTTAAAAACATATTGTTGAAGACCATTTTCTACCAATGCCAATGTCAAGGGCACTCAGGGTTCAGACATTGCAACCGAAGCTTATTGTGCATTGAAAAAGTCTAGAGCACCACTGCTTGTAGAAAACTCCAGTAGTTCAGTGGTTTGAGATTTAAGTAATACAGAATTTGTAAAATATCAGTTCATATCTGAACCTTGTACATTATTAAGGCTAAATTGCATCAATCTCGAGAAGTACACTGTATAACAAATTGATAGCCCAACAACTCTTCCACTGAGTCAGAAAAAATGTCTGTATATCACTTGATCCCTGCTTGACTTAAGGCAAATGCCCATCACGTTTCAAGAGCACCCTGCAAAACGCTCAGATATTCCGTCTCCTACACTGTATCAGAAAGCATACCTTTAGATCACAATGTCGATAGGTTCACCTAATTTAGGAAACCAGAAATGTGATGGCTTGAGCTTCAGCATACATGACATCAGTACTCCTGGGACAAAGCAGGTGGTGTCCTGGGGCGGTCAGTGTACTTGGAGATGACCTGCAATATCTCAGATCTGAGGGCCAGCTTGTCGGACCGAGGCACGTCCTGCATGAAGGAGACCAAGGATAGCAGGAATTGTCGGTCCTCCTCGGCATCTCGCTCCAGGAGGCTGATGTTGAGGCTTGTACAGGCAGAGGTGGAGGTAGAACTGGAAGTGGAGAGCCTAGGGGTCACATCAGCACTTGCGGAATTGTTTGTGGAGGCTGTGGTTGCAGAGCTGGAAATATACAATCAATACATCAGACTTGAATACATCAGTGAAAATATGCCCCACCATGAATATACTATTATGTATCAGTCAGAATACTGTATTATTTTGAAAACTGTTGTGACAGTTGGAATTCGCTCTGATGGTGAATAAAATACAATTTGATGTTTTATATCAAATTCTGCCTACTTTTCTCATCCGTCTATTTAAGAAAAACACAAATGTTGGGTACAAGGATGTGTAGGCTACATGAATTAGATTGCATCGTTTTGCACACTTTGACCCTCATCGATTCAGATCATGAGCCAGATTTTCACCATGACCAGTTGTTTCCATGGGATGCAATGATGAAAATTGAATAATTGTGTAGTCTTTCATCGTCCAGATATTTGCACCAATACCTTGTAAATTAAAAGTCAATTTGTGGGAAGAAATATAATCTGTAGTAGATTTGTTGTTGTTTGTGTTTGTTGTTGTTGTGTAAGATATTTGATAAAATTATTGACATAAAGTGCTAAAGATTTGTCAATAACTAATCAGTAATACTAAAGCATTCCTACAAGTATTGAAAACAGAAACATGTAGCCTAGACATTCAAGAATGAAAAATTAAAGGATGATTCAAATGAAGGAATCATAATAATCTTTAAGTATAATGAGCAAAATTTAAGATCAAGAATTACCTTTTCTTCCTTATGGTTGGTGCAAGGAACAACAGCTGATCATAGTAAGGACTTTTCTGCACTCCTCGCTCCTTTCCATCGACCTGACGGAGATGGTCTCTGACAAAAGACTGTCTCAGCCGGTCCCACTTCTTCTGCAGTTCCAGACCTGAAATTCATTCATATTTTTACTATTTGTCAATGCTTAGGTCTATTAGGCGACTTAACGCAGAATCCAAAGAAAGATCTGTGACGCTGACTAAAACTAATTATAGGTTTAATAAAAGCTGTTATCATGCCAGTTAATTATTGGCCTTCCCTAGTCTAATTTTCTCACATTTGGTCCGTTTCTCGTCCGTTGTCCGTGTGGGGAAGTCTGTCCAAGCCATCTTGCAGATCTGCTGCCAAGCGATGGCCATCTTCTTGTGTTCTTTCGCACCGTTGCTCCATATCGCCGGTCTTTTTTTCACTTGCTTGATCAATTCCGGAGACTCCATGAACAGCCTGTGTGTATATCGTGCGTTATAGTCGAAATGGCGGGAAGACGCGCGGGCTTTCTGCTTCCCATATCGGCCGCTAGGTAGCTCTCATGTCAAGGTCACAACGCCGGCATTCTGCATTGCCAAAACAAAACAATTTTGAATCAAAGATAATCATGTCGCGGTGCAGTGACTGAGTTAAATTTGGCTCTTGTTTTATCATTTTTGCGATATCACTTGAGTGTTACTTTTCGTGTCTGAGCTGAATATTACCTTTCGCAAATGGGAATTTTTGTTACAATCGCGAACTAACTTTTTATTTTTGACGCCGTGTTAGCATTTTTTTCAAAAGTTAATTTTGATAATGAAATTTATCTTAAGCTTTCATGGCACTGTGTAGTTCTAGAATTGATTAGTATACTATATCTTAGCTTTTTTATTCCTCTAAATTATAATTATATTATATAGCTGGAAGTTCGTAATCAACTGTCATTTAGTATTGTCAATGCCAGTTATTTTGGAATAACTTGTTATATTTATTTATGTAAATACCGACTAATCATTTTATATCATAATCAACCATTTTAGTAGATGCAGCAGATTTTGTTCTGATGCCAGACAAAATGCAATTTTAATTCGTCGCAAAAATAATTTAACTTAGCTTTGCAAAACAAGTTTTTGGATCAGACTTTACGCAACGTAGCTTATAGCCGTGTTTAAAACAAAAGCAAACGCTCATTGTTTACCCCAAGATCAAAGGGTGGTTTTTAATTGGACCTCCCTGTGATTAGAGAAGTAGGTCGCGGGGATGGGGCGTTATTTACAACAGCTGACCTTGCATCAGCGGCTCTGGCACGTGAACGTGAAAGAGTGAGTATCGGAGACAAAAGTGTACTTGAGTGAAGAGACGGTGACGTCACCTTTACAGCTGACAGGGCGGGGCGCGCGCAACACTACATCACAATGATAGAAAATTGCACTTGTCGATTTGGTTTGGTTTGGGATAATCGATTTCAGAGTTTTAGGGTAGTTAGTGTATCTAGATATATCAAACTATTATTTTACCAAACTATCTTCATCCCTTTATTTGTGTCCCTTTATTTGTGTAATGTTGAAAAAAAGTTTGTTAGTGATCTCACTGACGAAATGAAATTTACTCGCAAACACATTATATTGTTCTCCACCTAAACATTCAGTATCTACAATAGCATTAGCATTTACTCGAGCAACAGTTGGTGTTCGTGTAGTGTCGACGTATCATGTGATCTATTAGTTCTCCCAGTCAGCTGACTATTACACCACACATGCTAAACAGCTGATAATACGTCAACGACCGTGCGATACAGCTGATTGTTTATCAGCTGTTTTACAAATCGCGCTGTTCTAAAGATTTATTCATTTTATTTCGTTTTACGTTTAGATTAGTTTTACGATTGTTTGATCTGACCGATGAGAGAGTTTTTGATTAAAATCAACCTGACAATGTCCCCAAGCTAGTATTGGCTTTAAATCAAGCTAAAAATGTCCGATAAAATATTGTAGTTGGAGATTTAGGCGATGTTTTAATCATTTTTCGTGGCGGATTTGTATGTAAGTAGTTGAGAAGATTATTAATGATCTAACAAAATTATTAATTAATAGTAGCCTATGCAATTTGATTAGTATTTTATTTACATTAGTGTTTATGATGGGTTGTATCCCTACAGCTATATTTTGTTGTATAGTTAAAGATATTTGAAAAATAATAGTAAATCGTGTTCAACTAGTATTGATGGTCAATAATAACATTCAACGGTGTTTGTGTATATGAATTGTTTACCATTCTCAAGTCTACTGATCCATAACTAATTTTTTCTTTGCAATAACGCATATAATGCCAAATTTTGCAACATCGTACATTTTACATTGTTAAAATACAATTTTTGTGACTGATTATGTGACATTAGTGTTTATGATGGGTTGTATCCCTACAGCTATATTTTGTTGTATAGTTAAAGATATTTGAAAAATAATAGTAAATCGTGTTCAACTAGTATTGATGGTCAATAATAACATTCAACGGTGTTTGTGTATATGAATTGTTTACCATTCTCAAGTCTACTGATCCATAACTAATTTTTTCTTTGCAATAACGCATATAATGCCAAATTTTGCAACATCGTACATTTTACATTGTTAAAATACAATTTTTGTGACTGATTATGTGTGTTGAGAAACTTTATATTTGATATTTTCTAATTACAGTATTGTGCCATAATTTATGTAGCCTTATATAAAAGAAGAAGGCTATAGCCTTCTATGTAGCCTTATATGTAGGCTAAGTATAAAAGAAGAATTAATTAAAAGTTAAATTCTAATGTAAGGGTTGTTTGAGACGAAAGTTCTGATTTCTAATGTAAAATCCATCCAAGTAGGACGTGGAAGTAGGAAGAGACTGGAAGGCAGGTTATTTGAGGAGTTTGGGGCCGTGGCTGTTGACCCAGGATTGTGCGGGTGTTACCCCCAACCCCATCCCCCCAACCACCCACACCCGCACCCTCAACAGACCAACGCCCTTGATGCGGCTGCAACGCCCAATATCGCAACTACCCTCTCTTGCTCCAGGAAAAACCTTTCGACATGCGAATTTGACGATTTTAAAATTTAAACTGTATGGGTTTGTTTTTTGCTCTGCCAGTATTGTTAAATGTTTGGATTTTTGTGGGAGCATAGATTTTGATGCATCTCGCGACTCGCCCTTCCTTTACCAAACATTACTTACCTTGAGTCATAGTAATTTAAAATACGTGAGTTGTGCGCTTGTGAAAGGTTGAGCTGTTCATAGGGTTCCTTGTCGCACTAGGTCTAAATTTAATTAAAACCCTAGCTAAATAAGCTGAAATCTATGAAAGACAGATTGAGAGGGAATTTGTAAAATCATTGTGTAAGAAGAGTTTAATTTCGGGTGTTTTTCAGAAAAAGGCCGCCACTATTTAGACTGTGGAAAACCCACAGCTTAGGTTAGTGACACGTTTTTGTTATCTACTGATCAGAAATAATCACAAACACTCAAAGATAATCTAGCACAGTTCAAATAGTGGCGACACTCTTCTGAAAAATATCATAAATTTTCACTAAATAATTGTTTAATTGTTTGTATTGTTGTAATGGGTGAAATTGGTACTCCCAGGAAACACGTTTTAAGAGTCATCAACATCAATATCTGGGTTCGATTGGGATTAGTAATAACCCGATCAAAACGGTGCGAATTCGGAAATAGAATCTGTGTCAGTCTATTCGTTGATGGTAAAATTACAAACCGCTGACTCTACAATGTGACACGATGTGGATTGATTTGCCGGTAATGACGGGTAAGTGAATGGCACATTTACAACCTGGTTGTAGTGGGGTTGCCGTGTCCCCTGTATTGATCGGGGCGTCGCGACGGTGGCGCGGGGGACGCGACGCCGGTGGTCGACGTCGGAACTACACGTTGGGCGTGGTCAGGCGTTGACGTCATGTCTGACCGTCTCGTCGCGACGCCCGACGCCGCCGATACTGCAGAACCCTTGCGTAACAAATTCATCATGGGTATATCTGGGGTAAAAATGTTAGACCACATTACAATAATACAATGTGAAACTATATTTGAAACTAATGTGGTTATATTTGCCGCTCAAAATCGAATATTAGCTTGGAACTAGGTCAGTATTCTCTGTTTCACTCCTGTTTTACATGTGCTCAATGGATATAATTTATTAAATATGTGTCGAAATCACCGTGTTTACTTCACTCATGATATGTGGGAAAATAAGGCTGAGTTCAGGCAAAAAACCATTCCTAGTACATTAAGTAAAGATTAACGTTTCCACAATTTCCGTCGAATATTCCACTCCACGTTAGGGAAAAGCTCGCAGATTTTTGCATTGAGGTTAGAAAATACGAAGAGTTAAAAAGTGGTATGTGCAGTGTGCAGTGTTAGTCGAGTGGCGGCATTCTAGAGGCGGTGGTTATATAATGAGGCTGCAGGTGAATTAATGAATGAATAAACTAGTGGATGTGAGTGTGAGAACCTTGACGACGACCACGGGTGAAGGAACCCAGCGGCCTTGTAGAGTGCATTGCTGCATTGTAACAAACTCGCCGGTGTTATAGTGCATCACGCGTAAACGTACGAGAAGTTGTACTAGCTATCTCAAGAGTTTGCACGATTGATAGTATTGCTTAAATCATCATACTGTTCAGGGACGCGACTTGTAGTTACGGTACAGGGTCTCAGTTTAAAGCTACTGCTCCGAGAAGCAGCTTGTAGATACTGCTCAGAGATGAAGATTAGTTTTCTGCTCAGAGACGCAGTTTAAAGCTACTGATCAGAGAGGCAGCTTGTAGTTACTGCTCAGAGATGAAGATTAGTTTTCTGCTCAGAGACGCAGTTTAAAGCTACTGATCAGAGAGGCAGCTTGTAGTTACTGCTCAGAGATCGATATTAGATGCTTTTCAGAGACTCAGTTTAAAGCCACTGTTCAGAGAGTCAGCTTGTAGTTACTGCTCAGAGACGAAGATTGTTCAGAGACGCGACTTGCAGTTGCGGTTGAGAGACGCAGTTGAGACTCTTCAGAGATTCTGCTGTAACGTGAAAGTGCGTTTCCCAATGACAAAACAATAAAAACTACACTACGGCTCAAGTTGCTTACCGTCGGCGTTACTGTAGTTGGTTTGTTGCAATGCTGAAGAGTTTTTAGTTTAGCTGGGTTCGGTACGGCTCAAAGACCAGCCGCAGGCCGCAGCTAGCTAGAGACGGCTGCCGTTATCTCTCTTATCACCAGCTGATTGCGCCACCTGTGTGCAGAGTTTTACACCGGCTGATAAGTGATAAGGGGAATCAATAACCTTTGCACCGTGTCGAGCCTTCCGGCCTTTAACGAACACTATTTAATGTTTATAGCCGAGAAACTTCACAATCTGCTTAACTCAGTCAGCTTGAACATTGCAACGCAACTCTTCGAAAACATAGTGGCGAAACAGTTACAATATCGTTAGTTATATTTTGCTTACTAATTCTCAAATTAAATGGCACTAGTTTGTCTCGGCCTTGAGAGAAGCTGAAAAGGCGTTGGGATGAAATGCAATTGTAGAATCGGTTCGTTTTTGTCAGTATAATCATCAAAGGTTATCTCAAGAGTTTCATGAATAGCAGTCTCTATAATTAGGTCTTGATCTTAAAGCATATTGGTGAAATTCCAATTCAACTGTAGTAACGATTATTATTGTTGTTACCTCAAAGGTCAAGGTCACGTATATTTACCAAGTTACCAACAGGTGGCGCTACGGTTGTCGTTGACAGTGTGAAATCTCGTCTTATTTATTCTCTTTCTCCCCCTGTTTTGCTGCATAAAGTCTGTCCTAAATCTTTGATAGAAAGATCCTTTACCTTTGAGGTCAGTTTCGAGAGTCTTGTGTAGCCTCGTCGGCGGAATTTCCGTAAGATACGACGTTTTATCGCCACGTCCGGAACAATATGGCGCATTCCTTCCAAGAATGGATGGCGTCAGCGGAAACCGTTTCTGATTAATTCTTAGCATCCGTTGGTCTTGACTTCGGTCTCAATCAGTAAAGTCAGTACAATGGCAAAGATTGCTGATGTGAAAATTTAGTTTTTATGTATTTCCTTGGGGTTTGCTGTTCCAAATTCCCAAAATGAAAGTCCAAAAGTGCATGTCTCTTAGAGGCATTTAATTTTACTATTTACCTCAACTGAATTTTTACGTTGCTGGTTGTCCACCGAAACTATACTTTAGAACACAATATTAAGTTTCGCATGATTACAAACAATTGAAATGCTTGGAGCGCCGAGTCAGCAGGATTTGCTGCGGCGTTAAATTAGCGAGAGGATGATGCTAACGATGATTAAATTCGACCGTCAGCATTCGGCGTCAAGCGGCGTGAATAATGTAATTGTAAATTGACTAATTACAGCGCCAGGGTAGCGGTAGAGTGCGCGGCTATATATAGCTTGTGGTGCGGCGCGGCGGGAAACTACGCGGCGGCCGCCATCTTGGAACAGCTGACAGGGGCTCCCGCCGGGTGTTCAACAGCTGATCTCAACATCTGCCGCTCCACAATACAAAGTTGATGCTACATTGTCTCTATGATAATGTTTCACTAGTACGCAGCTGTTTTACTTTCTAGTAAAGAACTGATTATAATTTACATATACTTAGCTTCACAAACTAACCTTGTTAAGTTTACGGTTTTGGTATTCCTTTACTGTAGTACATTTGATATCACTAAATATTCCTTCAGTGACTCGGGTGGGGGATAAGTAAAGTCGATGTTTTAGCAATTATTCATTTAGCGTAGTATGGTCTGCAGTGGGCGCAGATGTGAAAGTGGTGGCCGGATATAGTGGGCTGATCAGCTGTGTGGCGCGGCCGTGACTCATGTCTGTGCGCCAAGGTTCCGCCGCACCATTCATGGACTATGGACCAATACAATCCTTTCTACTTTCTTTGAAGTTGTAAAATCTAATGTATATGCTGCTGCATAAATTATGGCCCAACTATAGCCTGTGGTCTATAAGTTGTGGATATAAACTACCCCTAAGTTATTTCACAATCCTTTCTACTTTCTTTGAAGTTGTAAAATCTAATGTATATGCTGTCGCATAAATAATGGCCCAATTATAGCCTGTGGTCTATAAGTTGTGGATATAAACAACTTGTTTATTACCCCTAAGTTATTTCACCTCGTTTAGTTCCTGCGTAATCTATACACTGCTGGGACAATTTATCAATTGTGGTATCGGTGTAATATATAAGAACGGTTTAGCCTAATTTACGAGCTAAATATAGTTGACGCTTGGTATTTAGTTTCATATAATTGTGTGATGTTACTTTTCCGCAAAGTATATTTCATTGTGTGAAATAGCATCGAGGTAAATATTTTGATGGACGAGAACCCAGTATTTTTAGTTCCGTAATAACCCCGACTCATTGCGCAACGCACGGTTCAAAATGGAACTGCGGGTCTATTTTCGTCAGAGGGCGGCTCGACGGCCGGAAACAGCTGGTTGGCCGGATATACTTCTTTGTAGAATTATTGCATCAAAAGTCTGTTGGCATGGGCTATCGGACCGCCTTGTCGTTATCTTAGCAGATGGAGAAGGGGGAAGCATAGATGTCTATTTAGCTGAGCCTAATTATGTGGTCAGAGTTGTAAACGTCTAAAAATATCCGGCAGAGGCTGAAAATTTAAAACGAAGTTGGGTATTGCGAGTCCATCAAACCACAAATTGCTAGACGGTGCTTTCTAAAACGTAATAGAGATTTTGGAATCGTTAGTGACCAACGCGTTAGGTGTTAAGAATTTTAGGTCAATTTGATCTTTTTGAAATACAACATACTCGAATCGCCAGAGATCGAATTACAACAGATAAGTGAGTGTTTACCTATTTACCTTGTATAACCCCAAAAAACTTAAATATAAAAAACAGAGAAATTTAGTAAAATGAACGGTGCGGCGTGTGTTTTCAAAACGAATTTACAAGTAAAGCACGTGGTTTTGGCTGCTCCAGTTTGAGCGCCTCGAAGGGACGAGAGCCGAACAAAGACGATGGCTTCCTTTGTTCGCTCAAGGTCTCGGGGGCCAGGTGGACCGACCAAACTTTGGTGAGGGGAGGGGGGGGGGGGCTCGAAACCAGTTCCTCTCAGCTGCTTCTGCTCTACGATTCTGGTGCCGCGCCACTCTATTTTTGTCTTGTCAGACTCCTTTTACGAAACTCTCCTCTCACGCCTCCTATCCCCTCCCACTCTTCACCTTCTTGGCGGTCCCACGTTCCCGCTCTTAGAAATTTGTCCTTTCTCGGAAACTGGGACCGACTTTGTTCGATTCCTACAAAAAATACGTGGTGGGAATATATCCAGGAAAAGTTGCTCACGACCTCAATAAATGATTATTTTGTGGTAGTAAATTTTCATGCAAACTCGGAACGTTATTGTACGCTAATTTGGTACCACTTTGGAGCGGTGCTAAACACATTGAGTCAAACAAACATGTTTGTGTCGACAGTTATTTGTTATGCAATAGTAAGTAGGTATGGATAAAGATGCCGCTGAAAATATACAACTTACGTTGAAGATGCCGGCTATTTGTCAGCTGGTGAACAGCTGTTTTCCCCCACCTGACGCCCATCAGCTGTCTGCCTTTGTTGTGTTTTGGTTTGAAACACCTGACTCTCCTCCACTAAATTTAACTGCTACAGGCTTCTTGATAAGATAGTACTGAGTAAAAGTAATTTTTATGCTTATACGAGCATCGAAGACTGGTTTTGGCTACAGCAGTCTAGGAACGACAAATAGATGAGGGAGGAAGCTAATTCAAAGGTGCATGTATCCAGTGTGAGGCAAATTCAACTGTAGCAATAGCCTGAATGCATTTTTAGCCTACTTAAAAGTGTCTTATAGACAGAAATCAACACCTTGGAGATCACTTGACTGAGGAACAAAAGCCTGATGACACAGAGCGGTGTTATGTGAGTGAGAAGTGGCAAGTGCAGGCATTAACAGTGTGGATGTGTTCTTTGATGTGCCCTGTAGGTGTTGTCAAGTGTGCTTTGAGCTCACATGAAGACCTCTCCAACACGTCCTGGATCATGATTCTGTAGTGTGTGTTATGGCCGACAAATAACTGTCTTTGGGTGTCTAAGTCATAATGTAGGCTAAAAGTCTCAGCAAGACACACGCTTTGACACAAACTACTTTATTCTTCCCTTAGAAAATGAAGAAATACTGATGGAACAAATTATGCCACTAGAAAAAGCTTGTCGATGTTGTCGGTCTAAAATGTCCGATAATATATTTCATTGTTGAGGAAAAAAGTCCTTACACTTAAGATTTCACAAATCGTAAAATAGGGACAAAGTTAAGGGCGATATAGAAATAAAAATGTTTGAGAGTAAGGTAATGAAATATCAGTTTATCTTCGCCCCTGTGAACTTATCGGCATTCAAAGCATGGTCAATACTGTACAAGAAAGATGCATATTAGGTTAGTAAAACTAGTGGCTCATGTGACCTCGCTGCTTCCAAGTGACTGGGAAATGCACTTTCAACTCATTAGTTCATAAAATATGAAAATAATGCAATATGTTTATATTTTGGAACTGTTTGTTTCAGGCGGCCATTCTTCAGCAGACTGCAGAGTACATCTATCAGCTGGAGCAGGAGAAGACCAGGCTTTTGTCTCAAAACTGTCAACTCAAGCGACTCATCAACCAACACGAGGGAGAAACCAACTCTGCTGTCAAGAAGAGGAAGACTGAGACAGGTAAACATACTAAACCTTATTACAGTAATTTGAGAATGTTGATTGTTTTGTTTAAATACTCATCAAACTCATTCTGACAGATAATTCCAATTTTTTGTGGGGATTTTTTGAAACAGTGTGACATTCCTTTTGTTCAGTCTGATTCTGTTCTGAAACAGGTGAGAAAGTATATAAAAAAATAATACGATTAGTACACAAATACAGCCAAAGCTGGGGAATCACAAAAGAAAGACCACACCCAGACAACAGTAGCGTATGTGCCAAAATAAGAAACCAAAATTTTTGAAAGAATATAATAATTAGTAGTACTGAAAAGGGGAAACGCAATATGGTGGCTCAGGCAAGACTAAGGAATCATAATCCAGATAAAAAAAAATTCTACAAGAACGCCTCAAATAACTCTTCTACCTATTTTTTAAGGTTGTGAGGTATGATTTACTTGGTAGACTGATTTGTTTGTTGGTTGTGACAGGCATGGTAGTGGTGACAGAAGAAGGCGTAGTTGCAGCCGAGGCAGGGTCTGCCAGTCCCACACTGCTAGATATAGACCAGGCGGCTACAAACTCTGAACTCATAGAGCTGAGGGTGCAACTAGACCGGGAGAGAGGACTACGGATGATCCTGGAGGACCAGGTTCGCAGTCTGGAGACCCAACTGTATCCGGAGAGAATCCGTGAGATCACCCAGCAGGTGCAGATGCAGTACAGCCAACATCAGCAAGAGGTGAGGCCAAAAACGACTCACTGTTTTATTTGCTCTCAGGCAGTTTAAAACTCTTGCTACATACCCTGATTAGTAGAATAGGATGTTCATAAGACCCAGGCACATTCTGGCACTTACTACAAGAATGGATGCTTAGAAAGGTGCTGAGAAATTTTCCATCTTAAGATTACTAGAATAATTGCTATTGTTAGGCATATTTAACATGATTGGGATGTTTATCACTGATTTCTTATAGGGTTTACAAACTTAGTTTCTACATTACCTGTTCAAGGGGTTAAGACTTGTTTTAAGAACTGATGATGTGTTGCAGGATGAACCAGGATTGCTAACACCAGTGAGACGAGAGAGTCAGTCGAGCACAGGGTCGGCCGAGAGTACAGAGACGGCCGGCACAGTGGCGACATTACAGGTGGTGTCTGCTGCTAGTCTACAGCCCGTCAGTCACACAGAGACGGTGATAGCCACAACACCCACCCCTCCACACTCCCCCACACCTTCACGCCTCCCCTCGCTACTGGAGGCTGCCATCAAGTCTGAGCCCAAGGCAGAGGCAGAGCGACTACCATCCCCTAGTGGAGCCAACGGAGAAGAGGTCGTTCCACAAGCCAGGTGAGCATCTACAAATGGCCTCCACTTCAGTGAAAAATATGTTGATTTCACTTAAAACTGCTGTAGATTATCTTTTGATTGATGTATTAGGATGTGTGTGTAGGATGTATTAGGGTGTATGTTTTACAGATTCTTGCTGTATTAGTGTTCTTGAACAATAAAGCATGGTTATGTCATAGATAAAACGAACTCCCTTAGACGATTTCTCATCCTTATGGATCAGCTTAAGACAATTTTATTGTTAGTTCTGTCCGGTGCACTGTAGAGGTCGTGTTATGTTTACAACTTGTTTCTTGTTATTTCAGTTACAGTATTTTAAACCTCAATTAACCAAATAAAACGATTTAATCATAAACTATAACTCCTCCCCCAATTATATAACCAAACAGTTTTGTATACAATAGCGCTCAGTGTCGCAAACACAAAATAAACTTTCTGCCCTTTTGGAAAAAGTTGAGGCATGATCAGAAGAGTTTGCAGGCTATGGGACGATGTCAGGCGTAATCAGAAATCCGGCTGATAATGTTTTTTGACTGTGTTTTAGTCATATATTTCTTAGTAGGTGCTCAGTAATAGTGGCTTTTTTTACTGTAGTCTTGTCTTTATTGCAATATTCTTTCATGCTTACAAAATGTGATTTCTACATTTGCTAATAAAGTTATGTGAATTACAGGGTGTACTTGGCAAGCACTTCACGCCAAAACCTGGAGACCATCGTGGAAGCCATCCGTCACCTAGAGGGAGACGCTTTCATCAGTGACAGCACGACAGCGTCAGTGACAGCGACCGCAACAGCAGTCCCTGCAGACACTCCCGCGGCCACACTCTCCAAGCAGCAGCGTCTGCTTAACCCCTTTCTGCAGTTCCACCCTCCGCAGCAACGACCGGGTGTCATCGTGGTCAAACAACACACGTGATCCGCTCCTCGCCCCCGCCCCCACCCCCTCTAGTGGCCTAATTATTTCACTCTTTCTAATTAGTTACTTGTTTGTTATCACACATTCGTGTATTCTCTTTGATAATGTTTACCGATCGGTGTTTCATTCGATTTGTGTGCGGACCCTCCGCAATCGTCCTCTTTCTACTTAATCTAGTAAAATCGCAGTATTAAATTCTAGTGTTATATTGTTAGTGAAACTCGCATCTGCTCTTCCTATTGTGGAGTGTAGCGGTTTTGTGAAATGTTATAAATGAGATTTTGCCGTGATTGTTGGATTTTGTATTTCTCTAGAAGAGTGGTTTGTACGGGAACAGACAATTCGGTATTTGTGATTTAAATTAATCGTTATCTAGGCACAATTTAGGTAGGGAGGTGTCGGGGACAGTGTGTGGATCCCGGTCATAATATTCTTAAAGACTGTTTGTGTTATCAGGTAGTCGATTCTATCTCGACTCTCTGCTCTTTTCTCTTCCCTATTTTACTGAAGTAATTCTAGTTCTTACTTGTTTTAAGTTATGTATAAAATTGTTTTGTGTTTTTGTTGTGCGAGAAACTAGAAAAAATATAAAAAAATTGTTTTTATATGTGTGATAGAACGACGGATGGCTGGCCCTAGCTTATTGTGGATATGTATACGTACAATTAAAAATTCCGTAGTTAGAATAGATTGTCTGAACAAAAGTATAAAGGGCGCATTGTGTCATTTCTTGTGTCAATGTGCAGCATTAGTCGATTTCCTCTCATTTTGCTGATGTCGATGTTAACATTTCTCTATTATAAGTGTATGTGATGAAAATTGTGTATATTGTGTATGCCGCTTCTTAATGTAGAATTTGGCCAAACCTTTTTTAACATTTTAACGATTATTTATTTTTCTACTTGTAAATTTTTCCAACTGTTTTGGACTGATCATTATTTAATGTTGTATAATTTTGAAAATCACATTTTGAGTGTTTTTTCTCCTCTTTTGTTACTCTAGTTGGTGTACACGATGATCTGTTAGTAGCTGTACATAATTCGCTTATGTAAGGTTCATAGTCCAAGGGGCCTCCCTCTTCAGGGGATTGTTATGTAATTCAAAGTTCCTTTTCAGATCATAAATATTAGGTATAATATTTTGCATTTCATAATCACTTGTAGTAGGTCCTTAGTTCGCATTAGCACGTGTATGGATGCGCTGCTGTAAATATGGCCTCGTGGACACTTTAATCTTGTTTATTTTTTGTTTAAACATTGATGCTGTTATTTAAATAAGGAAAACAGATCTGAAATACAATATTTCTGTTTTCTATTAATATTTCAAGTAGTTCTTACTTGGTAAACACAGCATTTTACTTACTTTAATTTTCTTGTTTGGTTTTGTGTTCAGTGTTTTTGTTAATTTGTTTTTACTAGTTGCTTGCTTAATCAGTTATTCCTATCAATTGTTTTCAATAACAATAACGTATAGTGTTTCATCCCTTCTTGTTATTATCTGATACAATAGCTATTGCATTCCTTAGTCAATATTGTTGTATCGGATGTGTTTTTCTTAGTAAAAGAGATACAGCATAAATGTTATTAATGAAAAATGTGTTAGCTGCAGTCAGAATTTTCAAACAGGATTATTGCTCAACGATTTCCAAAGGATTTGTCTAAATGTTGTACATTTTTCTGTCAATCAAAGCTTGTAGCTTTGTATATTTGGTCACTGATTCATTTGCACATTTTGTCATTTATTGTGGTATCTGTGAATACATTAAGTAATTTTGTAATAATTTCGAGTATTAGTTTATTTTGCAATAACTAAAGATATTTTGTTGCCTGTGTTATGGGTAGTTGTAGCAACAATTGTTTACTATAATTGACCTTTGGTATGATTGGTTGTATAATGTACACTATTTGAAAACAAAAGACTTTGAATAAAATCAGATCATTCATGTATTGGTTAAAATTTATTAACCTTTAATCCTCCTAGATTAGTCTTGATAAAGGGCTCTAGGCAAGATAGGTTTGATTTAGCTTACGGTCGTAAGAGCAGGCTTGTCTGTTTAGTGAGTCAGTCTTCTAAATACAGTAGACTCCCTCTAGTTCGGCCACCTCGGGACCGGACCACTGGCCGAACTACAAAACGGCCGGACTAACCGGTTGTAGTGCATTTTACATAATCAAAATACAAATAATAGTATTGCGCAATTGTGATATGTTAAGTCAATAACCTTGGTTCAGTAATAAAAACTGTAACGTTAAAATCACGCTTACTCAAGCAAAACAAAAATTACACAACACTGAACGTACAGCAATAAATCACGTAAAGAACAGAAAAATAGAAAGTCTAGTACTGCAAGCTACTGCTACCGTAGTCAGCATAGGCTACTACTACATGTTGTTTCAGAACATAAGAAAGTCGATGAAAACATTAGACAACTAGTCTTAAAGATAATAACGACAGTCGTCAAATAAGATAAAGATAGCAATAGATGACGTAAAACACTGCTTATCCTTTCTTCTTTGTTCTTCTATTCTTTCTTTGGTTTCTCTTCATCCACACATTCAACAAGTTGCCATGGTTACAAATCACCCAATCACAAACTGTTTTGTGAGATAGCAAACAAGTGCACAGCAGACATCAGTTGTGTAAAGAACAGATGATTGTCAGTGCAAGCGGATAGCTTGACCTTTTGAAGCTAACGATGGCTATTTCTTTGTTTTGCTTTAATTTATTTTTGTCAAAAAACTGTGGTGTTTTAAAAATAATAATGGGGGAACCTACCGCATAAAAAAATGATCCGAAATATATAATTATACACTGCATTTCAACTTATTAGACCTAAGAAAAACTATTTATAAAATGTTCTCGGTATTTTTGAGGTTATGTAACATAGTTTTAGTTTTACATAGGTAATATGCAACAATTCACCCATAGAAGCACCCGTCAACTAAACTGACATGAATTGTTTACTTCTTTGGCCGGAAACTAAACATTCAAGTTAAATCCTGTCGAAGGCAATTCACCCGTGACGATGTGACTTGTCCCCCTGAGACCGGGCCGGACCATCCGGCGGCCGATCCAACCGAAGCCGAACTAGAGGGAGTCTACTGTAGGAATCACATATGCATTCGAAAAATTGTAATAATTTCATGGTCACTGACGACTTTGTCAATCCACAAAGAAGTAAGGTACGGAGGAAACTGGCTTATGAGACGACCATGTGCTTTCTGCTTTAGTATATTGTGCTAGAGATATACTGTGACGAGCAAGAAAGAACCCGAACGGTGAACGCTGTGTGGAAATTCCTATTCACCTAAATAACTGTGCAACCTTGATGCATCTCTTTGGCAAAATGGTAAAAATTGGATGTCATTATGTACTTGATCAATAGTATATTAATTATAACTCTTGTTGTTTTTCATCACTCTGTACAGAAATATTGTCAAAAACAGCTAATATCAAAGAAAGAGATGCTCTAAGAGCTTTGACTGTTGAAACAACTAGTCATTCCATCCTCATGTTATAGTTTTTGCTAGTTTTCTTTTTCAAAATCGTCTTAGTTGATGTGACCTACCGACAGACTGTGCTGACCTAAATTACTTATTTCCGTCGAATACACTAACTAACTTTTTTGCGAAGTCAAACTTATGGAAAGACGTATTGTGAGCTACAGCAACTGTTATGACCCGTCAAATTGGTCAGTAACAAAAATAAGGTAGAAAATGGAAATCTATACACCAGCGCATTCTGTGACTGGCTCACACTACTACGTTCTTTTTTTAATTGAAAATTGTCAACAGCTGGTATATTATTATATAGATGGGACGTCTACTTCAGTATCCAATAGTTATTAGAGCAAGGGAAAACTGATCAACTGATTTTCCCTTGCTCCCAATCAGTTCTCATTTCCTCACTGTGCACTATGTGCTGTTGCTGTTGTTAGTTACCTTTTGGGACATCAAAACAAAAAAGTAAACTAGTTACCAGTCTAGGTCCAAGGCCCCACTAGAAAAAACAGGCCATGCTGTAGCGCGTGTAGCGCAACACTACGTCACAGTGGTGGATAGTTGTACTAAACTCTTACCATTAAAATCTTACAAACAGCCAGCTTTTTTATTTACCTAAAACATATGGGAATGGTGATGGCAATGAATTTATCAATGGAATCTATCCACTAGTGTGCCGTCATGGATCCTGCAGCATGGCCTGCTTTTTCTAGTGGGGCCTTGCTAGCTAGGTCTTACCATAGATGAAGTAATTACTTCATCTGTGGTCTTACTTACCATAAGAACTACAATCATGGTGGAAGGAAAAAACATAGGTGTGCTATTGTCACTCGGATTGCAAACAAAAGATCACCTGATTGTAACTGTCAAATTAGTATAGCCTATGTATTTGTTTTTATTTGGTTGTTATTGTTTTCATAATGATCCTTCCACCATGAACTACAATGGTAATACAGTGGCTTATTAGTTATTTTATACATCTAAGGGAAAATCGCTGAAAAAACATGATTGATCGTATCAAAAATGTGTTTGATCATTAATCTAAGCTGAAGATTCAGTAAACCATGTTAAAACACAATACCAGTCCAATGAACAAAGAATGCCTCAGTCTTATTTTTGCTTTAACAAGTTTTGAATTTTTTGCTACGGTTGTTGAAACCATTAAATATATTGCCCAATGATAAAGCCCTGTTCCCAAGGGACGTGAGACATCGGAGTTAGCCTCACATCGTGAAAATTCGCTAAGTGGGAACGACGCGTAGTAAATTTTCTGTGACGTCACCAGGCATGGCAATAATCCACAAACGGCCAAGATTCGAACTAAACAGGTTTAATCATGAAGGTTAGTCATGAAAAACTAACAGTTTTGCATTCCTGGCTGTTTTTTGGTGGTTTTGTGTGCAAGTTCCCTGTTGATCAATCGATGCACCTCCGCATCATCCCTTCTTAGAATCCCTTTTCTAACCCAAAACCGCAGTTTCTTCTTTTTTTTAATCACTTACCGTGACCTCAATTTTTCGGTAAAATGTGACTTATCACAGCAGAACTTACAACCCGTCAACTCTCAACAATATGCTCTTCCATTGTCTCAACTTGTCGATTAATTTCACAAAAGCTACTAAAATTTGAACAATTGTACTGCACAACTCTCAAACACCCTGCCGTCATTGACTTTATTTACTGTGGCGGTGTCCTGTATTCCAGCTACTAGGAGGTCACAAACTGTGGATATTTATAGGCATGCACTGTGGATCCGATACTCCCTGGTGTGGATAAACGTCCGCGAGTACTACGCCTATTTGCAGTATCCTGATAATTGACTAATTCATTAATACCAAGGCAAAAATGTGGTTCGGATTCCACTATAAACTGTATGTCCCTTAGTTTCCATTAGCTGTATGTGCTATTAATTAACAGCTGTGTCTAAGGCATACGTCAGCCTTAGTCACTAACAAGACTACAAGATCGCGCCACTCAATCTACACTCGACTCATCTCCATTGATACTTGGCTTAAAATACCTCTACTTTGTATGGTCGCCATTTCAATGAAAAGTATTTTACAGTATTAATACTCTGAGGTAAACTTAATCCAAAAGACAGACATAAAGGGTGGCTCGTTTGAACGGTCCACGCCTTACAAGAGGCGGTATTCCCATCCCCACCACAGAACGAGGCTAAAGTAAGCGAGCTGAAGAGAAAATTCATATCCCTTGGGAACCTGGCTTGATGGTTAGGAGTTGAAAATCATGTAGTTTACCCTAGAAGCAATTTCAATTAGAGATACAAGTTGCTTTTGAAACCCCTTTAATCAGGTGTCCCAAGACAAATTCCAACCATTCCTTTTGCATTGCTGAGTGAAGACCAAACCAAGACGCCAACCACTATTCTAACAAGACATCCCAAAGCACATTTAAAGGTTAAGCACTGTAAATCAGATTATATCTTATTTTTACGATTCTGACTGCTTGTCAGGGTGCATATTTTAAGGCGAAAATTGGTAAAGATGAGTGTTGAAAAAGAGATAACAGCTTTGTTGCTGACTAAGATTAGAAGGTTATTTTGCCAGGATCAAACCCGAGCTTAATGAGGGGCGTATATATCCCCCCATCCCTCCCTGAGACCGTCTCTTCACTTGCGATTGCTTACAATCGGAGTTTAAAACACATAAAACTTTGTGTGTGTTTTTTAACACGACCACGACTTTTACTCCCTAGGGGCTCAAAAGGCTTTTTTACTCACTGCTGCAGAGTATGATCGAAAAGCATTTATTTTTATCAAGGACAGTTGGGCCCAGTTTGAAACCATTAAAAAGATTTTAGTTTTCTCAGGATCGAATCGGTAAACTTCTGATTCCTAGGTGAAAATATACCCTTTCAATACCCAGCAATAGCACAGAGAAGTAATTAAGGCACAAAGGAAACATTCAATGGTGCACTTAGGTGATGTCTAGCACTAGTTGCTGGTATCTGTATAGGGCAAAGTCCAACACCTCCCCCTCGCTCATGATGGAGAAAGCCACTGTGCCTTGTGTGATGAATTTAGTCAAAGGTGATAGGAATTTCCGACAGTACTCGCTGCTTGCTTTTCACAAATATATTTCCGGCTCAACATACCAGAACTGAAAGAGCTTGGTTGTCTTATAAGCAAAATTCCTCTGTAGTGTACTTAACTTATATGTAGCAATACACTGTTTCCATTGTATTGGGGAACTAGAAATAAATAGAAGGTCTAGGGAATTTTCTTTATTCATCTCATCTCATAACTTCTGCAAGTTCAAATATTATTTTGACCTTGCTTTTGACCAAAAAACTAAATAAATAACCTGAGTTGGCGCAAATATAAGGTACTGGGCAGGTTTATTAAACCTTATCATCTTGGAGCTTCCTTAACTTCGTTTGAAAATGCATCCATTCCTCTGTATTAAAAAAACCCCCACACAATTTAT